CTGGAGAGTTTCCCACATTTGGGAGTTGGCTGATTGTATCCTCATGGTGTCATTTAACATGTGTCTTTAACCCAATGACACTTAACATGTGTCTTTAACCCAATGATACTTAACATGTGTCTTTAACCCAATGACACTTAACAGACATGACAAAACCCTGCTTAATCTTTTATTCTCTCTAAAAATGGCAATGAGATCTAGAGGTTTGATTAGATTCAAGTTTATTCTCTGGGCGAGGATAGAATTCTTCACAGGTGAACCTGTATTGCACATCTTATATCATATAAGAAGGCAATAATGGCTCATTTTTAGTGATGCACAGATTGATGAATGGGTTTAGGTGTTGTCAGCCTGATCGATCCATTATAAGGGTCCTCATTAGCTTTTTATCTAATAGTTTTATCATTAGGAGTTGGAAAATGGTGACTTTTAATTCTATCACTCATTCTTCTATTAACTGCAATTCTTCTAGAAAGAATTTCTAGAAATGATCAACTATTTAGCCAGAAATGAAGTCCATACAGGAAAGGCAGGATAAATGCATAATTCTATGCCTTGATCAATTTTCAAAGTGCCCTAGTCATGAAAAAATGTTTAAAATCTTCTTTATAGGTGTTTACAGGAAAACCAGCTAATAATCACCCTCTGAGGAGAGAAACGGGAAGAGTGTTATACAGAGCTATACAGAGCACTTGGTTTCAATGAGTCCACAAGGCATGTTGGGATGAAGCAGGGGTCTAGGGGGCAGCAGAGATCACCAGTTGCTGGAGCCAGACCCCGCTTTTGATACCTTTAAAAATTCCTTCCCACCGACTGTTGCTGTTTGCAGCTCTAATGTCAGCTCCGCTGATCTGAAACGCCACCTCCTGGGGCTTGGCCCGCAGGGAGGAGCTTCCTGCCGCTGAATGAGTGTCTCACCTGGGACTAGCAGCAGGAACCCCGCAGCCCTCTGGGGGTCTGTCTGTGACGAGAAGGCAGCCTCTGCCAAGTTCAACTCCCAGGATGCATTCTTTATGTGTCAATGTGGTATCTTGGATAAGAACATAGGCTTTTAGGGAAGCCAAACCTGGGTTCAAATCCTGGTGCTACTACTTATGAAACGTGTGATGAAGCTCCGCTTTCTCGTCTGTAAGACGTGGTTGGGGATGGTCGTTATGGCACAGGGTGGTCGTCGCTGAAATAGGATAGAAGTTAAAGCTCAGCAGAAGCCAAAGGCGCAGGGCGCGCGCATGCGCAGTAACCACGCCCCGTGCTGCCGCCTGGGAGGGCTTGGCCCAGCTCCGGTGGCTGATGGCTGCCTTCAGCTGGCCCAGGAACCCGTCGCCTCCTGACAAGTGTAGCTTGGTTGAGCGCATAGCAGACCTGCGTGTGGGGCCTCCTATATCCTCTTGTGTCAGCGGAGCAAAGGAAGAACTGGGAGAAAGTGACTTCTCCAGGTGACCAGAAGGATGGAATAGGAGGCTGCGATCCAGGTCTGTTGGCTCTTGGTCTTCGGCTCTTACTGGCTGCATCTAGATCACTGTTTTCTCTTAGATACTCTTAGCCCTTCCCTCAGCCATCTCCGGTTGCCTTGGTTTAAGTCATACCTGCAAACCTTTTCAGAGAATGGCGCATGAAATAAGAACCCTCAGGATACACGTGTACGCAAATCTCTATAATTATACCCACCCTGGGCTTCGCTCTACTGTCTCTTGCCAATCCAAGGATGCAAGATACAAAGCTTGATTGTCACATGCATGTTTAGCTAGATATTCACTCTTCGAACATGTACTGAATGTTACGTGTCAGGTGTCAGGTCATGGGTCACGGTAAGGGGTTTGAGATGATGAGGCGGGGTAGAGGCACAGGGATGAAAAATGCAGTCTTGGCATGCAAGGGATTTCAACTTCAATGAGAGGAATGGAGGCGGTGTGGGACCAGGAAGCAAACCAGTGATTATAACTCAGTGCGATACACAGGACGGGCTTTACCTTGGGACCCTTTCTGGAAGAGTGACACTTGAAACTGATCTAGGAAGATGAGTCACGGCCATGCAGAAGGAGAACAGGGTGACCGTCATTTCGGTTGGAGGGAGTATTGGACGGGTAATAAGGCATGGCGGGTTTGGGGAAGCCTCTCACAGTTCTCTGTGGAGGAAGCGTGGCCACGTAGGGTTGTAATGG